CACACAGCTAGTGTGTTAATTATGTAGCACTGGGTAATGACTTACCCCCAAATTTATAGGCATAAAACAGCACACGTTTATTATCTCATGGTTTCTGAGGAGCAGGAATCCAGGAGCATCCTGGGTTATTCTAGCTCAGGGTCTCTAATGAGGTTGCAGTCAAGATGTTGGCAGTGCTGAGTCATCTAAAAGCTTGACTGGGGCTGGAGGATCTACTTCCAAGATTGTCCATTCACCCAGATGTTGGTAGATGCCTCACTTCCTCACCAGGGGGGCGGGCCTCTCCCCAAGGCTGTCTGGGTGTCTGCACCCTGTGGCAGCTGGCTTTCCCCAGAGTGAATGTTTCGAGAGCAAGAGCACACACGCAAAATGGAAGAAGCTGCGGTGGTGTTTATAACCGAATCTCAGATTTCATACACCATCGCTTCTGCCACAGTCTATGCGTCACCCGGAACAGCATTAACATTTTTTAACATGGGCTTTTCAACCTGGGTGCTGCTACCTCTGCAGATCCCTGTGCTTGGGCTTCTTTCTCCCTCCTGTTTTAAGGGGTAGTGCAGTTCAGGGCTCAATGCGGGGCCTGCCCTAATGCTGAGTGTTTTGAGGGCAGTCACCATACACTTGATGGGGTTCTTCCTCGGGGAGAGAGGGTGGAGTCTACAAGATCGTTCAGGACCTTCCAAACTGTCACTGTGGGGTATTACAGCATCCCTACCCCTATGTACTAGATGCTAGGAACACAGATTCTCCCTTCCCCGGTACGGCAATCCAAAATTTCTCCAGATGTTGGCCAGGGTCCATGAGCTAGTGGGGAGGCAGAATTGCCCCAGTTGAGAACCACTGGGATATAATATACATCAGGAGCCCCAAACTTCCTAAGACTGGGAGCTCATGGTGGGGCTCCCTCCTAGCAGACTGTACTTTAGTGTGGCCCTGGCAGCTCCCAGAACAAACCTCACACTGGGGCAGCCACAGGACTTAGGCCATTGCCTGTTCTCAGGCTCATTGCTCATGGACTGGACTTGAGCTTTGGTAGCACAACTGGTCTGACCAGGTGTTTGGGGGGCTGGGCTACTACAGAATCAAGCTTAGGATCCTCTCCATCCAAACGTATGGACACAAAGCTGCACATCTGAATTTTACATTCTGCAGAGAGAAGGGAAGTTCAGCAGTGCTATCTCTGTGGTAGTGGTCTTCATGTCCAGACCACCCAAATTCGGTTTCATTCTTAATTTCTCCACTTTACTTTGGGGTCCATTGGTTCTGAAGGGAAACACGCATGAGAAATGTTTCTAGGTACCATGCTCAGTGCCACATGACTCCGCCAAAGACTGGCTGAATTGCACAGAATTAGGTCTCCCGTCCTCCTCTGAATCTTCAAACCCCCCTCCCTTGGCCAGTCTAGACTGAGGATGCAGTCGCCAGAAGAGTTTGGAGATGGTATTGTTCGTGGAGATGTTGCCATACATGCTTTTCCATATTCTTTCTTTTCATATCCAAACCTAACCTGAACGGATGGTGACTCAACTGGGTGTGGCCCTGCCTCTTGGGCAGCCTACCGGGCAAGGGCTTTAAGCCAGGGCAGGAGTCACTGCCAGAGCCTCTGAGGGGCGCAGGCTGCTGGCAGGGTTGTAATCTGGCTGCCTGTGGAGAACTGGTCGGGGGAGGAAGCTGTTCCAGCAAAGAGCAGTTTTCTCTCCGGTTTAGACAGCTGTGGTGTGCCACTGAACAAGCCTTCATATACCTGAACTTTCCCTGTAAGTCATTTCTTCAATACGAGCAAACGCCAAACATTATGTACAGAGACCTATTTACAAAAGGCAAACCTTTTTAAGCTGTGTAATCCACCCTAGTCTAACCTTTACATTTTGCTGTGATGAACTTCTATGTTGTTTGAGTAAACCTTTGAAGACAGTGGTAGTCCTTGGGCAGGTGTGAATCAAGTCATATTGCTGAATGACCATGAGTAGGGTTCATTTTTCGGGTGAAAAGCCTCTATCACCATCATAGGCTTGATTGGATGTTGGCAAAATTTAATTCCGCAGTATTTAGAGCTGCTGTACCTGTTCCTTGAAACAAAATCGGACGAGTCAATAGTCTGTTAGTTGTCTTTCAGATTGGTGGCAGTCACTTAGAACATGTGTGATATTCTCTACCTGGTCTGTAGCTGTAACTGTGATGTACAGGCAAAGCAAAAAACAAAATGCAAAAAAACCCAAAAAACAACACTTATGAAAAGCAAACAATGCAATGATATTAGGATATACACTTTCATATTTTTATTCTTATACTAGAGGCCCGGTGCACAAAATTTGTGCACTCGGTGGGGGGTGGGGCGTCCCTCAGCCTGGCCTTCCCCCATTTGCAGTCTAGGACCCCTTGGGGGATGTCCACCTGTTGACTTAGGCCCATCCCCCGAGGGCTCCCTGGCTACCAGAAGGATGTCTGACAACCCCGGCCCCAGTGGGGTCCGGGGTTGCCGCCTGGCCTGCACCTGGGCCCTCCTGCCCTCTGATGCCATGGGGATCCTGGGCGCAGGCCAGCCGGCAACCCTGGCCCCCGGGGGGTCTGGGGTTGCTGCCTGGCCTGCTCCCCAGCCCTCAAGCCTTCGATCGCCACCATTGCTCGGCACAGGCCAGCCGGCAACCCCAGCCCCTGTGGTCGGGTTTGCTGCCCGGCTTTCCAATGGCGATCACCGGCTGTGGGGTGGGGAAAGGCGGCCTTTGCCCACCCCCTAGCTCTTGCCTGCCGCCTGGGTTGCCGATCACCATTCTTCAGTCCTTCCCCTTTCGCCTGGGCGTATGCAAATTAGCCGCCATTTTTGTTGGCGGTTAACTGCCATCTTAGTTGGCAGTTGATTTGCATAAGGATATGCTGATTAGCCAATGGGAAGGGTAGTGGTCGTACGCTAATTACCATTTTTCTCTTTTATTAGTGTAGATAAGGTTATTTGCTGGCTACTGTTGGCCTCTAATTCAGTTTGTGTTATTTAAAATTGAATATATAAGTTATTTGGATAGAATTCATGTTTGGGGCCAGGTTGTTGAATGTATTGATATACCGCTTTGAATGTGAATAATTATTTAAACTATATTTTACATCTTTTTCTCTGGCTTTATTATATAAATTTTCTATTTGGCCAATGATTTAATCATATAATTTGATGAGTCTATTCCACCTTTTAAAAAATATTTGTGCTTTAGATGTAGTTGCTGGATGATTTTGCGCGTATCTATGGTAGTCTTGTAATTAAAAAGCGTGGAAGCGGGAAGACATTAACCACAGAACTTATATGCATACTAGAGGTCCGGTGCACGAATTTGTGCATGGGTGGGGTCCCTCGAGGTGGCCTGTGGAGATCAGGCCCCAGCTTGTGCCCCCAGCCCACAGCCCCACAGCCCCACCTGGCACCCTGCTTTGGCCTGGCACCACCCCCCCCCCCCCCCCCCCCCCCCTCTC